TTTCTATGACTTAGCTCATTTCTGAGTCCTCAGTAGACCTGGACCAGCCTTTTCCCAATCTGCTCCAAGCAGATCTGAATGAACTTGAGGGGGAAAGGTTAAAGCCAATCTTAACTGAGGGCCTAGGACATGCACGCCAAGCAATTTACTAAGGAATGTGTATTCTATTCTAGTCATCATCACAGCCCCTACTTCAGATAGTTATCCTCGTCATCTCTGTTTTAAAGTTCTTTATTTTCAAATCATAAAGTAAATAGGAAAATTGATGATGAATACAAATATTTAAAAAAAAAAAAAGAGTGCAGGGGTGCCTGGGTGGCTCAGGGGTTAAGCATCTGACCCGTGATTTGGGCTCAGGTCATGATCTCATGGTTCATGAGAGTGAGCGCTGCATGGGACTTGCACTATAGGCAAGGAACCTGCTTGGGATTCTCTCACTCCTTTTCTCTCTGCCCCTCCCCCTCTGTACAAACAGGGGAGGGGCAGAGAGAGGGAGACACAGAATCTGAGACAGACTCCAGGCTCTGACCTGTCAGCACAGAGCCTGATGAGGGCTCGAACCCACGAACCGTGAGATCATGACCTGAGTCGAAGTCAGATGCTTACCCGACTGAGCCACCCAGGTGCCCCAATAAACAAACATTGTTTTTTCTTTTTTTTAAAAAAAAAGAAAGAGTGCAGGGTGGGAGGGAGGGGAGGGTGGGTGATGGGTATTGAGGAGGGCACCTTTTGGGATGAGCACTGGGTGTTGTATGGAAACCATTTTGACAATAAATTCCATATATTGAAAAAACAAAAACAAAAACAAAAAAAAACTTGTATCAGTCAAAGAGGGAGGTATAGAGCATCCTAGGCAGAAAGAAGCCATATGCAAAGGCTCTATGGTAGGAGGAAGCTGGGCATATTTGGAGAATCAAATGAGGTGTGGTGAAGAGGCAGGTGAGAGAAAAAGAGAGAGATTAGACTCAGAGGAATTAGATGTGGACAAAGAGTGAGACCAGACATAGAAACAGCTACCAATAAGCAGAGTTGTGCAGAATGAACAAAATTTGTGAATCAACACATTTGGCCATTGCTAATTACTAAAAGCTTTTTAATGGGTTACTGCATTTTGCAAAGTGAAAGATCATCTTACTACTATTTTATGCACATCTATGGCAAAGGACTACATTCATATCAGTGTCACTATTTAAATTCAATCACTAAGTCTTTAAGCTAGGACTAATATATAGTTCCTGGAGAATTTTCTACACTTAACCTTGCTGTGAACACATGAGGAACTGAGGTAGGTAGAATGCCTTCCCTAAATATGTCCATCTTCAAAACCTGTGAGTATGGTCCTTGATAGGGCAAAAGAGAATTTGCAGATGTGATTAAGTATTTTGACATGAGATCATCCTGGGTTATGGAGGTGGGTCCAATGTAATCACAAAGGTCTTTATAAGAGGGAGGCATGAAAAAATCAGTCAGAGAAGGAGACGTGACCGTGGAAATAGAGGTTGGCGAACCAAAGAATATGGACAGACTTTGGAAGATAAATAAAAGGCAAGGATCATAGAGGTAGGCTGCCCAGTGCAGTAGCCCCTGGGCAACATGTGGCTTTGTGCACTTGAAATGGGACTCATCCAGGGGCGCCTGGGTGGCGCAGTCGGTTAAGCGTCTGACTTCAGCCAGGTCACGATCTCGCGGTCTGTGAGTTCGAGCCCCGCGTCAGGCTCTGGGCTGACGGCTCGGAGCCTGGAGCCTGTTTCCGATTCTGTGTCTCCCTCTCTCTCTGCCCCTCCCTCGTTCATGCTCTGTCTCTCTCTGTCCCAAAAATAAATAAACGTTGAAAAAAAAATTTTTTTTAATAAAAAAAAATTATATATTGTCGAAAGGGTAATATTTTGTGTAGATTGACAGATAAATGAAATATGTTGTTAAGATGGAAAAAAAAAGAAAGAGTGCAATGTCTAGATAGCTTTAATAAAATTATTCACAAAAATTTAAGTAATATGGTTAACATACATTTATAAAATTTGAAATAATAAATGTAACAGAAATCAATTATGTCATAATTTTAAGCTTTGTAGAATATCTCTGTTGGATGTAATATCTTGAAAAATGAAAGAAATAAAAAATAAAAATAAAAATGAAATAAATCACTTGTTCTGTTACTTAACTTCCATTTAGGTTACAAATCTTTTAAGAGAAATTCTGCTTGGGTATTTTCCGCATCTTACATGGCAGAATTAACAGCAGAATATTGATCTTGCCAGGGTGCCTGGGTGGCTCCGCCAGTTGGGCGTCCGACTTCGGCTCAGGTCATGATCTCAGGGTCCGCGAGTTCCAGCCCCGCGTCGGGCTCTGTGCTGTCAGTTCCGAGCCTCCGATTCGGTGTCTCCCTCTCTCTCTGCCCCTCCCCCACTCATGCTCTGTCTCTCTCTCTATCAAAGAATGAATAAACGTTAGAAAAAACTTTTTTAAAAAGAATATTGATTTTGCCACCTCAAAATGTCCTAAGGGAGCAAAATTCCAAAATCTGATTTAACAAAATTCATGGAAAATCATGTTTGATACAGAAAGAAACTTTTCTTGTCGTTAAAGAGCATGGGTACGAAGGGATTAGAGAAAAGGAAAGTGTTCAAAAATATCTCGTTCTCTATTCTCCCACAGTGAGAGTTAAGTAATCAGTTGTTAAGTAATCAGTTAACTGCTCTGTTAAGTAATCAGTGCTCCTATACTGTAATGTCCCTGTGTTACATTTACCTAATACGGTTTTAATATTAAATTGCTATGAGGAGTCCCTGGCTGGCTCAGCCTGTGAAGCATGCAGCTCTTGATCTCAGGGTTGTGAGTTTGATCCCCGCATCGGGGGTAGGTGTTACTTTAAAAAATGAAATCTTTTCCAACACATTGCCATGAAAATTCCCCTCAGGCACAATTTTTATGATTATGTTTATATCCCAGAAGGTTATTCTGTGATGAAAACTCAAGCCAAATATTGATTTTGTTTTAAACGTTTGCCATGTATCATTGAGCCAAAAATGTGTACCTGCAAATATGTATAAAGGGAGTCAGTACCTCATGCGTTAGAGGAAGGAAAAACTAGAAGTTATTTGTGCCTGGTTTATAAATTATGGAAAAGTTTAAACAGTAGAGTTAGGAAGATAGGTACCCAAATACAATGATGAATATAACTGTAATTTTTAAAACAGGAAAGTTTTTTAAAACATGAAAGCAAGTTATGATCTTATTTGACAAAAAATGAATAAACAATCTATTATATAAACTCCACCTCTATAAGCTTGGAAAATGTCTCAAAGTATATATAAGAAATCATCAAGGAACGCCTGTGTGGCTCAGTCAGTTAAGCATCCGACTTCGGCTCATGGTCTCAAGGTTTGTGGGTTTGATCCCCGTGTCGGGCTCTGTGCTGACAGCTCAGAGCGTGGAGCCTGTTTCAGATTCTGTGTCTCCCTCTCTCTCTGGCCCTCTCCCCAGCTCGCGTTCATTCTCACCCTGTCTCTCAAAAACAAATTAAATTTAAAAAAAAAAAAAAAAAAGGAACAAATCATCAAGCATGGTCGACTTTAGAAGGACACACCAAGGACAGATGGGAGGTCTTTTACTTGCCGTATTCTTCTCATACTGTTAACCATAAAAATATTACTTTTATAATTTGGAAAAAGTGGTAAAACAAAGGATCAAAACATATACATATTTTGGCTGGTAAGATGCTAATCATTAACTATTAATATTCATTAATTGCATGTTCATAAAATTATTAACACATAATTGTCTATTGACATTAGTTATTGCTGATTGATCATGATTAATAAATAATTGACTGTAGTCATTATGATTCATCATTTAATAATTCATTTAACTCAACCATTGTATAATTTCTTTGTGTAGGTCAAAAGCCATTTGCTGATAAGACACATGTTAAACATGCATATATTTTATAATATGGACATGTATAATTTTTAAACATTCTTTAATAAATCTACATAACTGTAAAATGGAAGATGCAGAGGAAGTTGAACAATACATTGAAACAACAAAAAGTCCCTTTGAGAACAAGGATGTTTTCTAACATGTGAAAACTGTGTGAGTCATTGTTGTGGGAATTACCAAGTCATATATATGTTACTAACGCCTCCTGACACCTGTGAATTTTAATCAACAGAGGCCAGCTGGATCTTGTTCCAAAGTATTTTTAAGGAATAGAGTGGAAAATTACTATAGGTAACTAACCATCCAGAGAAAAGCTGCATTATATTTTAATGTCTAATTGACATTGCTTCTTCTGACATTCAAATTCATTTCTCTTATATAGGTCACATTATAAAACAAAAACTCCCAAAGAATTAGGAAGAATAGAAGGAGATTACCCACGGAGTCTCGAAGGTGGCAGAAGCTGTGTTGTAACAGAAGGAACAAGGAACGGAGCTGAATTGCAAAGTAGTCATATCATGCAAGGCGTGGGGGGGGTTCAACTGGGGCAGAGATAGGAGATTGCTTTAACAAAAGGGCTATAAACCCACAATGCGACATATTCAGCCCAACATGAAGCCAGAATGTTCCAGCGTTGCAAGCAAATGAGGAAGAAACCCACCTGAACTATGAAAAGAAACTCACATGGAGTTATAAATGCCTCTATTATGTGCCCAGCTGTGTGCCGAGTGCAAAGATTTGGTTTTGTCCTCTTTCCCGCCGACAAATGTGTGACAGTAAGGCTCAGAAGTAAAACTGGGAGTGCAGAGGCGGGCCCCGCAAATGTCAGAGACAAACTGAGGCATCAGTGGGGAGGCCTGGAAGAAAGTAGCAAATTTTTTTTTTTTTTTTTTTTTTTTTAAATAGGCATCACATCCAGCACGGAGCCCAGTGCGGGGCTTGAACTCACCTCCCTGAGATCGAGCCCTGAGCTGAGATCAAGAGTCGGATGCTTAACCGACTGAGCCCCCCCGGGGGGCCCCAAACAGAGAGATTTTATCCACCCAAAGAAAACAGTATTTTTAAGCCCCTGATGTTTCCCCTCGGTCAGCCCATTTCTGTTGGTACTTACCATTATCATCATTTCCGCACTTTGTTGTTTCCTTAAGTGAGGAGACTCGTTGCCCGGTAAACTCCCTTGTCCTCCTTATGCAAGAAAGGAAACCCTGACTGAAACACAAAGCCGCAGAACAAATTAATATTATTATGCCTTCGGGCTGAACTTCCTTAAAAAAAAAAAAAACAGAAATGGATTCATTTTCCTTAGATCTTAGCAACAAAATAGTACTGGACTCAGAAACTGATGAGAGAAGGAGAGAGAGAGAGAGAGAGAGAGAGAGAGAATGAATTCATCCCAACCATCTACATCACAAGGCACAGGTAAAATTTGCAACTCTCCCTTTCTTTCATAGATCTTTTTTTGGGGGGAAGCGGTGATAAATATGCTGAGGGGATAGGACTCTAGAAATGTCTCCACTAAAGTAAAAGAAGGGAGACAGAGACAGAATGCAAGGGGTGAAACAGGCAGTGGTTAGGTGACGCTATGTTGTACTGAGGGTTGCTGGGCTGGGTTTTGGGGAGAACTGAATCAGACTGCTGTTCCCACCCTTTCACTGTTGCATTGGGCAAGCCACCTCCCTTCTCTGGAACTCACTTTCCCTGTGTGTGAAATGTTTATCGGGTGGGAGGGGGAGAGGAACTATAAGAACATTGCCCACGTTTTATATGAATTGGTTTACAAAGGGCTTGGGAAATGAGACACCAGAAAGAGGAGGGCAGGAGAGAGATTAAAAAAAACAAAACAAAACAGAGAGGGTGAGAGAAAGGGAAAGACAAAGATAGGAAAAGAAGACGGAAAGCCTGAGAGACTTAAGAAGGAAAAATAGCACATCTGTCTCAGTTCATGAGTCTTAAGATCAGCAATGGCTTATTCTAGCGGTTCTAAAAGCTGGTTCCCAGACCAGGAACTTGCTGGCTGCATAGCAGCTCTAATGAATTGTTAACTCTAGAAGTGAGGCCCCATCATCGGTGTTTAAACAAACTCTCCAAATGATTCTGAGGCATGCTGAAGTCTAAGAATTACTCCATATAGACAGCGCAAGTGGAAGGAGCTAAGTAAGGTTGAATAAGAATGTCTTTTGTATCTTGCTTTGGGAAGACTGACCATGTTTGCATATTTCTTTCTACAGAGAAAGGACACTTCTCTTCCCAAAGGCTCTTATGGACTGTTGCTGGGGTCTCCATTCTACTGCTCAGTATCTGTTTTATCACCAGATGTGTTGGTGAGTTCTAAAGGTCAAGTTTAATCTCCCTGGTGAATATTAAGAGTAAAATCTTTCTTCTTGCCTGTGGGTTCTCTTCTCCCCCAAAGGGTATTTCTGTTCCACTTTCTTCCCTGTTTATCTCCAGGTTATTCCTCAACTAGAACCCCAACTAGTACAGAACGGTTACCAAATTGCAGTGACCTCTGACATATTTTTCATGATAGACATTTTTCATCTCCTTGGTGGCCTTGAGTCCTCGCCTTTGTACTTCTGTCATGAGTGTAAACTTCTCCACGGGAACCTAGCCAGAGACATGACAAACTGTGTTTTGGAACAAGGGTAGGGAGGGTGGGCATAAGAGAAAGTGAAAGCATATTTGTTTTCTCTGGGTCTTTGGACCTGAAGTAAAGCACATTCATCTTCATAAATCAGCAAAAACCATGAAATGTGAATCCTTTTTTCTTTGGGTAAGTAAATCTCGGTACCTCTCCGCGTGGAAGGACAAATAGAGAGTAAAAAAAAAGATATCATGATGATTGCTGGTACTTTTGTTACAAATACACACATGATAAACTTAATTTTTTTATCAAGAATAACGAACATACACTCTGCCCCTTTCCTTACAGTGACGTATCATAGCTTTCAACTCTGTGATGAGAAAAAGTTCCAGCCATATGAGGATTTAACGGACTTCTCCTGCTACAGAGATGTATCGGGTATAATGGTCCTGAAATTTGAACATCAACATTTACATATTGCCACTTTTTGGCTTCTAGATTGATTTGGGGACAAGGAGTTGGATGGTGTCTCAAAAACAAAATATAAAATCTTGCCTGTACTACCAGAGAATGATGAGGAACTGATAAGACAGGTCTAGGACTTTGAAAATGTGATTAGCATTGGACAGGAAATCCTGGGGACATCATAGCAAACTTTTAGAAGAAATTTGAGGTATGTCTGAACAGAAAATCTAGAAGTGGAAGGTATTATCTCCAGGAGTGCACTTTCTTTTCATTCCTCACTTGCTTCCCAATGAGGTGAAGAAGAAAAAATAGAGAGAGAATAGGGAATTTGGAGATATCTCAGAAATATACTCTCTACACTCTTACATATATAGTTTTGTTCTAAGTCTTAGCAAAATGCTACATGACGCTCCTCTGGAACTTAATTTCCTCACCATTAAATTGAGAAACACTGGACTATTTCTTTCTAATAAACTTCAAAGACTTACATTCTACAATTCTAAGAAGTTTAGCCCATCTCCACAACCAGTTTGGAGACTTTGTTGAGGGCACATTGCTTGGGCAACATGAGAGATGGTTGCTTAGATAAAATGCATAACCTTCTCTCACCTTGGCATTCTAAGAATAGTTAATGAGGCTCTATATCAATAGCATAACAGAGATAGATCGTATGTATGACTGCATTTACTGGCAAGTTTAGAAAATAAGGATTATATCTCAGGGTGCCTGGGTGGCTCAGTCAGTTAAGCATCTGACTTAGGCTCAGGTCATGATCTTATGGTTCATGGATTCGAGCCCTACATCAGGCTCTGTGCTGACAGCTCAGAGCCTAGAGCCTGCTTCGGATCCTGTGTCTCCCTCTCTTCCTGTCCCTTCCCCACTCGTGTTCTGTCTCTTAAAAATAAATAAACGTTTGGGGCGCCTGGGTGGCTCAGTCGGTTAAGCGTCCGACTTCGGCTCAGGTCATGATCTCGCGGTCCGTGAGTTCGAGCCCCGCATCGGGCTCTGTGCTGACAGCTCAGAGCCTGGAGCCTGTTTCCGATTCTGTGTCTCCCTCTCTCTCTGACCCTCTCTCTATCCATTCATGCTTTGCCTCTCTCTATCTCAAAAATAAACGTTAAAAAAAATTTTTTTTTAAAATAAACGTTTAAAAAAATTTTTTTTAATTTAGAAAACAAGGGTTATGTCTCAAAAGACGAAACAATTGCTATTTGTGTTTACTGACATAGGAATTCTCTAAAGTCTTAGATAGTAGGTTGGGGAGCTGGCAAGGACAAGGGGCTCCAAGGTACCAGTCAGAAGACTGGTAATGATGAACTTCATGAGGCTAGATGAAGCTTTCTGTTTCCTTACTTAGTTGATATATGACACTCATGGAAACTTCTGTCCTCCTAGGTTCAGTCAAGAATTGTTGTCCGTCGAGCTGGATCCATTTTCAATCTAGCTGCTACTTATTTTCTACTAACACCATGTCCTGGGCATCAAGCGTAAAAAACTGCTCAAACATGGGAGCACATCTGGTTGTTATCAACACACAGGAGGAGCAGGTAGTTGGAGCACAGTCACCTCCAGTGTCAATGTAACATTCCTTCCAGGATCTATCCCTCTTTCCATACGTGTATGCGCTCTTTGGTCCAAAATTACTATTTGTTAAGTGAATGTATTAAAATGCATGCTGTTCCTACTATTTCTATAAGTCGATACCTACTCTAATTTATTGTCATCACTAGAAGAGCCTAAGGGGGGAGGAAAGGGGAATTTCCATGGTCAATGCCTTTCTTACTAAGGGAAAAAAAGAGGTGGGGGGGACGCTGACAGTTCATTTTAGAATGACTATTGTGTTGATGAACACATCAGATGATTATGTCAGATATGCCCAAGATATGTCCGTTATCTTTAAGCTGTGATTAATAATCTTTCATGCTGGATATCTAAGTAGCTTTTGCTACAAATAACAGTAGATCAGCTTTGAATGAGATATTAAGAAACTGCTTCTCTGTTAAAGATTCTCTTTTTGTTGGTTTAATTCTATGTTCCGTATATTTTTACCACAATAAAAAAAAAAAAAATCAGGAGATACTCCTCCATGATCTTACGATTTCAGAGCCATTTATCTGTCACCTATAATCCACTTTACCTCTTTTAATAACAATTACCTTCAACATTTGTCCAAAATTGAAATGACTGATCTACTTTGTGTTTCTATTGTGTTGCTCCTCTAGGAATTTCTTTTCTACGCGAAACCAAAAAGGAGAGAGTTTTATATTGGACTGACAGACCAGGTGATTGAGGGTCAGTGGCAATGGGTAGATGGCACACCTTTCACAGAAGCTCTGAGGTAATTTCCTTCTTACAGGACAATTTTAACACTATCTCAAGTCCCAAAGTTAGACCATTGTTGAGGGGAGTTCTCAGAACCTCCTTCCATTCCATGAGATATTTTCAGGTCAATCCTTGGTGATTTTATGTGCAAGAAGATAGTCGAAGGAAGCACGAGGATCTCGTGCTCTCGCTTCCTGAGACCATCTGAAGAATAAAGGGGAGATAACAGATGAACATGAGGAGGGAATCAGAATCGAAGACTGATTCATCAGAAATGCAGCAGAGACTAAGAGTGAAATTCAGAGTCTTGTGCCCAAACTAGTAAATGATTTGAGGGTAGTGATTTGAGAAAGGAGATTTATGGAGTGAAAGTGGGGACTCCCTTGATAAGGCCTCTTTTCTCTTTGATAGTGACCTTACACCCTTAGAGCACAGCACATTGGAGTTTTCATGGGTTTGATCTCATTAATTATTTCATTTTACCTAAATTGCACCCTTCTGAGATACATCGATATTATTAATCTTCATTTAGCATTTGAGGAAACCAAAGGCTCAGTTCTAAGAGTACAGCTGCCATGCACTGAGACTCTAGAAAGTTGCTTCTCTACAGCACCGTAACACCACTAAAGTATGCACCTAGGTTAATACAAACTCGGTGCAGAATAAAGGGAACTAAACGTAAGATGAGACAAAAGCGTGAAGGAAACAAATTCATGAGCATCAGTGCTTCCCGTAACTTCTCATTATGGGTCTACAGCTGAGGAAGCTTGACAGACCAGAAAGTCAGGAATATCCAGCTGGGCTTCGCCACTCTAAGACTTAAGACAAGTGGTTTGGTTTTTCCGGGATTCCTTTTCTTCAATAAAATGGAGGTTTAATGCCTAACTATAATGCCTAATGGAGGTTATAATGTGCAACAAAATTGTTGCGAGGGAGCACAACACAAATGCAACTGGTCTAACATATGAGGTCACTTGGCTTCCTGTAGCTGGGATTTAAAATCTTCTGCACTTGCTCTCTTCCAGCTTCTGGGACGAAGGGGAGCCCAATAATATAGTTACAGTGGAGGACTGTGCTACCATACGAGACTCTTCAAATCCGAGGAAAAATTGGAATGACGTGCCCTGTTTCTTCAATGTGTTTCGGATTTGTGAAATGCCTGAAATAAGTGCTTTGAATAACAAAAAAATCTTCTGAGAACAGAAAGCACAACTGAAATGCATAAATACAGAGGCACAAGAGCATGAACACAACACCAACACGAGAAAACTGTGCACTGCACTTTATAAGGACTACCTAGAGACTTCATAAGGACTTGTCGCTTTTGATATAAATAAACTAAGTAGTTTTGGGGCGCCTGGGTGGCTCAGTCGGTTAAGCGTCTGACTTCGGCTCAGGTCATGATCTCGAGGTTCGTGAGTTCGAGCCCCGCATCAGGTTCTGTGCTGACAGCTCAGAGCCTGGAGTCTGCTTCGGATTCTGTGTCTCCCTCTCTCTCTGCCCCTCCCCTGCTTGCACTCTGTCTCTGTCTCTCAAAAATAAATAAACATGAAAGAAAAATTTTTTTAAAAAGATTTTAAATAAAATAAGTATTTTTGAACGATATAATTTATGATCCTGATTGACATGCATTTTTCTCTATATTAGTCTCAGGACTTCTCCCAATTTACCAAGCAATTCTCTAACAAATGCTGGGAAAAGTAAAGAATACTCCTGCTTTGTTTGTGAATATTTATATGAACATATAGAGACATACAGCAAGTACAGAGCCCAGCAAAGAAGAGGATTTTATTTTTCTTTTCTTTTCTTATCTTTTACATTTTGTGTTTATTTTGTATGTCAAAGGTTAATTATATCAGAGGTGTAATTGTAATTCCAAATAACAAAGCCATATATCCATAAGTCAGATAAGGGGGACTAAGAATCCCATTAACTAATCCATTACATTAGCTAGTTATCATTAACCCAAGAGCTGGCCCAACGCTGACAAAGCTTAGAGCCAAGTAGTTGTCACAGAGATCAACTCAATGAACCAATTTATTTTTAAGATATAGACAAACTGTTGACTTTAAAACCTACCTCATTGGACTCACCTCTGTAGAAGCTATCCAATGCTATATTATTAAGTGGATATATATGAACTCTCCAAGAAATATACTAACGACTTTTATAAAATAGATCATAAATTTGCAATGAAGCAGAAACGCCTTTATATTTTCCTATAGGATAGCAAAACATTTCAGAATGCCAAAGGATTTATAATTTCATTCACATCCTGAGAAAAATAGCTCTACTAGGAATAAAACTCAATATAGATATAGAAGATTTCTTTTTTTTTTATTTAAATCCAAGTTAGTTACCATACAGTGTAATAATGATTTCAAAAATAGAATTTAATGATTCATCAGTTACATATAATATCCAGTGCTCATCCCAACAAGTGTCCTCCTTAATGCCCATCACCCACTTAGCCCATCCACCCCCAATACCCCGCCAGCAACCCTCAGTTTGTTCTCTGTATTTAAGAGTCTCTTACGGTTTGACTCCTCTGTTTTTCTGTTATTTTTGCTTCCCTTCCCCTATGGTCATCTGTTTTGTTTCTTAAATGTCACATATGAGTGAAATCATATATTTGTCTTTGACTGACTTATTTCCCTTAGCATAATACACTCTAGTTCCATCCACGCTGTTGCAAATGTCTCCACTGGATAACTGAATCTCACTTGGATTTGTGGCTATTGCTCAGCTAAGGCCAGGGTCCAATAGCTAAATTGTTCTAAGAGAACATTCAGCTTGACAACTTTCTATCTCAAGCCTATCCACTACGTGCATAATATTTTAATCAATGCTGATATGGTTATTCAAGAATATTTAAATATCTTGGTACCTTGAATAACCACACTTCTTGCACACGGCACCACACAAAATTCATACACTGAAATTAATGTGTAATCATTAGATGGAAAATTCAACTGGGTAAGTGAATATAATACGTAGTAAAACCTTGGATTGCGAGTAACTTGTTCTGCAAGTGTTCCGCAAGACGAGCAAACATTTCTAATAAATATTAACTTGATAAAAGAGCAATGTCTTGCAACACAAGTAGTATGTGACACCGAATGTCATATGATCACAACTGAGCCAATGGTTCTTCTCTCTCTCTCTCTCTGGGATTGTGGGTGTTCATCTCCCATGTTCAGATGCTCAGTCTCAGTCTGTGGTGTTTGGCAGAAAAATCAGTGATTTTTCAGAATGTTGGAAGATGCCCACAATAGGCACTAGTGTATTTTTTGTCACTTCAAAGCACCTATGGACAGTCCTCTGATTTTCTATACAAAAGTAAACTTAGGAATGCTTTGCTTCATTCTAGGTCAGGCTGTCTGCCAATATAGACCCTTTCTTCTGCTGCCTTACTGCCAGTTACATTAAATACAGCATGTGACAAGAGTTTATCAATACTGTACCGAAGTCAACATCCGTGCAAGTGTATACAATGGCCCCGATGCAGAAGATTTCACTGAGCCAATAGCAGTGATTCCATTCATGATAGTGAAAGTCACCCTACACAATAACCCTCCTTCTCTTGTCTCCCTCACACCAGCCACGAAGGTTTTCAAAGGTAAGGGCAGGTTAATTTGTTTATTTTTCTTTATATTTTATATTTTCTTTGTTACTTTGTATTATATTACAGTATTGTAATCATTTTTATATGAATAGTTTGGGGTTGTGGGATGAATCATCTGAGTTTCCATGATTTCTTATGGGGAAATTCACTTTGATACACAGTGCTTTGGATTACAAGCATGTTTCTGGAATGAATTATGCTCGCAAACCAAGGTTTATCTATATTAGTTTTCCTTAAAGTGTTCTTTCCTCTTAGATATATGTGACAATATGTAGTTTTGTTGATTTTTAATGTATAAAAGAAATATTTTGTCACTCAAAAGTTATCTCAGATTATGATATACCAATATAATGAAACACTATTTACTTATATGGGGCAAGGTATAAATCATTTTCCAAACTATATTTTTAAGTAAAAAATGCAAGATATTTTCCCCCCAAAACCAAATAATCAATTTAAAAATGGGAAGAATGGGCGCTTGGGTGGCTCAGTCGGATAAGCGTCTGACTTCGGCTCAGGTCATGATCTCATGGTTTGTGGGATTGAGCCCTGCATCAGGCTCTGTGCTGACAGCTCGGAGCCTGAAGCCTGCCTCAGATTCTGTGTCTCCCTCTATCTCTGCCCCTACTCTATTAATGTTGCTCTCTCTCTCTCAAAATAAATAAACATTGAAAATAAAATAAAATAAAAATGGGCAGAAGACATGAACAAACATTTCTCCAAAGGCATCCAGATGGCTAACAGACACGTGAAAAGATGCTCAACATCACTGAGCATCAGGGAAATGCAAATAAAAACCACAATGGGATACCACCTCATACCTGTGAGAATGGCTAAAATTAAAAAACACAAGAAACAAGTGTTGGGGAGAATGTGGAGAAAAAGGAACGCTCCTGTATTCATTAGGGGAAATGGAAACTGGTACAGCCGCTGTGGAAGAAATATGGAGGTTCTTCAAAAAGTTAAAAATAGAACTACCCTACGATCCAGTAATTGCACTATGAGGTATTTACTCCAAGGGTGGAAAAATACTAATTCAAAGGAATAAATGCACCGAATGTATATAGCAGCATTATCTACAATAGCCAAATTACGGAAGCTTAAAGAAGCCGTGTATACACAACAGAATATTATTCCATCATAAAAAAAAAAACAATGAAATCTTGCCATTTGCAACATGGATGGAGCTACAGAGTATAATGCCAAGCGAAATAAGACAGAGAAAGACCAATACCACATGATCTCACTCATAGGTGGAATTTAAGAAACAAAACAAAGGAACAAAGGAAAAAAAGAGAGACAAACCAAGAAATAGACTCTTTAACTATAGAGAACAAACTGATGGTTACCGGAGGGGTGGTGGGTGGGGAAAAGGAGGAAATAGGTAACGGGGATCAAAGAATACACTTGTCATGATGAAAACAAACAAACAAAAACCCCTTAGATTTGTGGGGAAAAAATTGTAAGATGTTTAAGGCAATGTAGATAATGTTGCTATTAGTATAAAAACAGTAGGTTATGTATGTATATATATTTATATAACACATATAAACATACATGGAAATACATATAAGAAACATAATCATATCTACTCTGAAGAGGCATTTAAGGGACTGAAGTTCGGGGTGGAAGATTTAACTGATACTTTTATTTACATTTTTACTGTTTTTACACATTTTACTGTTACTGTGGCAAACACACACACACACACACACACACATATACAGCAAACACAAAACCAATATTTAAATTTTTTTAAGTGTTTCAAATTTCTAAGACTATCACAATGCCCTAAAAAATTTGCATTTATTGGGGCGCCTGGGTGGCGCAGTCGGTTAAGCGTCTGACTTCAACCAGGTCACGATCTCACGGTCCGTGAGTTCGAGCCCCGCGTCGGGCTCTGGGCTGATGGCTCAGAGCCTGGAGCCTGTTTCCGATTCTGTGTCTCCCTCTCTCTCTGCCCCTCGCCCGTTCATGCTCTGTCTCTCTCTGTCCCCAAAATAAAGAAACGTTAAAAAAAAAATTTTTTTTTTAAATTTGCATTTATTTTTATGAAATTACTATCAGGTGTCTTAAAGAAATTATGAGGAATACAAGTGTCATGAGAGTTAGGAATAGATTGAAAGGGCCCGAGGGTGGAAATAGGGAGACCAATCAGAAGGCCATTGCAATAATCCGGGTAAGAACGATGGTCTGTGGTGGTCACCACGGAGGTAATGAAAAATGATCAGACTGCAAGAAAAGAGATTAAGGATATAGATGCCGACACAGATGTATAAAACCACATAGAGATCACATTTTATTGACAACTGAATCTCTACCTATATATGGTAGAGAAAGTGGATGATGTTAACTACACAAAGCCTTTTAGCATATACATAAAATTATTTCCACAAGTTTTGTAGATTTTGTGCTATGTAACTAGTGAATGGCGAACAATTAAAATCATTATCACCCCCATTCAGTTAAAAGTATCAGCTTTAAATGCAGACACACACATACACACACACACACACATACACACAATCAATCAAACACTAATCTTCCTAACGCAGAAAATCACTAAGTAATTTAAAAAATAAAGGCTGTTTTCAAAAATAGCTTTAAGGCAGTCAGGTTAAAAAGCCATTGCTTGGCCTGGATGGCCGAATCAGTTGAGTGGTTGAGCATCTGACTCTTGACTTTGGCTCAGGTCATGATCTCGCGTTTGTGAGATGGAGCCCCATATAGGGCTCTGTGCTGAGAGAACAGACCCCACTTGGGATTCTCTCTCTCTCTCTCTCTCTCTCTCTCCCTCCCTCCCTCTCTGCCCCTCCCCTGCTCATGCTCACTCTTTCTCTCTCTCTCTCTCTCAAAATAAAATCAACTTAAAAAAAAAAGCCACTGCTTGGAATTGTTTAGCTTCGATTCAGGAAACATCAGCAAATTGAGAATTTTAAGAAAGACCACCATATTTTGGATAGCACTGCTCCACAGTTAACACTAGTGATATCACAAAAGTGTCATGTCATGTTGTTAAGACAAGGACTTCCCTTCTAGTTTGAACTCTAGCTTTATAGCTCTAAAAAGACATGCTAACATAAATGGGCTGAAAATATGATTTTTTTTCCTGACTCAAATTGAAAATGTAGAAACACGAATACAATGCTAGAACTTTCATCCATTAGTCAAGAGGCCAAGTCACCCCAGTAACTTTCCTGTAATACCGAAGGCAACACAGTTTGCCGCCCATGAAAAGTAGTTCTGGGCCACAGTCCTGTTTCTCTTCATGAACTAGCAATGTTCCAGGTGAGCTCTTTGCCTTCAGTTCAGTTTCTTCAGCTACAGAGTTGAAGGCAGTTTGGTTAAGGTGGCCTATGAGGGATTTATCCGCTTGAAAAGAAACTAAGTCAGCTTGGGACTCCCTGCTTTGGGAAGACATTTAAGGTAGAGTAAGAAGAAAATGTTTTTAAAGGTAGATAGACTTTCTTTTTTTTCCATCTTGGCAATACTACGATTCAGAACTCCTACACTCCTGTTCAGAAAATATTTTGCTCATGGAATGTCAATCTAATGACTGATACTATTAAAAAGTCTGGGAACGAGACATTGAACAATAAGAATGTTGTTTAAAAACTTCAAAGGGTTTGTCATATTTAAAAAAAAGTGGCATGCCTCTATCAGTTGGAATACCCTGCCTTTGAATTTTAAGAGCTAAGAATTTGAGCAGAGGAGAACAATGACCAAGAGATCACCTCATTTGAGCCATTCTGTTTGACATATAATCAATGCACACCAATCGAAAAGGAAATACTTTGATACACTATCAAGAAAGCAAAGTTCATGAAAATGGATTCTCACAGAAAAGATGATTCTGGCCACCAAACCACACAAAAGCACATTGTCTTGAATGAATAAAACAAAAGTAAGGCCATCGTAACTGAAAAATGTTCTATTTTCTCAGCATGTTTTCTCTGCTCCAATGGTGCAGGTACATTCTGCCCTGGTCTAATTGGTTCCCCTTTTCTGTTGCCATCATAAGGACTCCTTTGGAGGTTTCTAGTTGAATGTTGTTCCAGGTAACTTGCAAATTCTTCTTCTCTCAAAGTTACAAGGAAAGTCATTCCAAGCCCATTTGTCTTGGACATTAACAAGGATAACACAATTTTCATTCTGTTTATAGTTGTTGGGTTCACCCTCATGCCAGAATCTAAAATGAAAAAATATATATGTATATCTTTATATTTGTATTTGTGTGGGTGTGTGTGTGTGTGTAGATCAGAAGACATGTAGAGAAAACGCCTCTGGTGAAAAATTTAGAGCTGCACTCTCTAATAGAAATATAGTCATTTATTAGTAGAGAAGTTGCTCAATACATAACGGTCCTCTCTGAGCAGGCATTTCTATATCGGTATGCCTCGGGGCAAATGAATTCTCCTTGCTATCTTCTTGTCTTTGCCTAGAAAGTTTTCACCCCAGTCAATATACTTACACAATATGTGGGTCAAATGGTGTCTTGTCCACCCAGGACCACTGGCCTTCATGGTCCTCATCTGTAAGTCCCAGGAAATATGAAAACCGTCTATCCAAAAATTGAACAATAAAGTTCTGCATAAAAAGGTAAACTTTTGTAAGTATATTTGCATGTATCATTTAGTAGCTGTTATGTTAGGAAACGTGGGGAAAGGTCAGATGGATTAATACTAGCTAAGCACAGGGGCGCCTGGGTGGCGCAGTCGGTTAAGCGTCCGGCTTCAGCCCGGTCACGATCTCGCGGTCCGGGAGTTCGAGCCCCGCGTCGGGCTCTGGGCTGATGGCTCGGAGCCTGGAGCCTGTTTCCGATTCTGTGTCTCCCTCTCTCTCTGCCCCTCCCCCGTTCATGCTCTGTCTCTCTCTGTCCCAAAAATAAATAAACGTTGAAAAAAAAATTAAAAAAAAAAAAAAAACACTAGCTAAGCACAGAAGCACTGTCATCGGACAGATCTCCTTTCAATCTTGCCTCTGCCATATATCATGTAATGTCATAAGTGCTTATACCCCTCCAAACTCAAGATTTCTCATCTCCCAAAGTGGATGACTTCAAAGAATTACTGTGAAGAGTAAGTGAGGTCATACTTGCAAATCACTTAGCACAATGCTTAGTAGGATCGGATTGTTTTGTAACTTTTGTTTTTAAAATCGTCTCTTCCTCCTAAAAACTGAGGACAAACTGAGGGTTGATGGAGGGTGGGAGGGAGGGGAGGGTGGGTGATGGGTATCGAGGAGGGCACCTTTTGGGATGAGCACTGGGTGTTGTATGGAAACCAATTTGACAATAAATTTCATATATTGAAAAAATAAAAATAAAAAAATAAAATTGTCTCTTCAATGGCTTGCATATTAAATTAAGTTCCATTTTATTCAAAGAGTCAATGAACCTGTAGATTGCAAAGCCATTGGAACAGAATTCTCCAGGAAACCCCCTTCACAAAGAAAAGAGTAGGTTAGGAGTTACGGTACATCTCTGGAAGTATATTCTATGACGAAATAAATTGGTTTTTTAAAAAAAATAACTGAATAAAACTTAAGAATTGTTTTTTATTTAGAATTACAACCAGACAGCGGAATGATTTTTCCTATGCTTTATCCTGAGAAGCTATCTCAGTCATGATTAACCATTCACGTATTCACTTAGTCATGATTAACCATTCACGTATTCACTTACTCACCAAACATGTATCAGGTCCCATCCAGTGTGCCTAGCGCTGCACAAGACTTTGGAGATGCAGAGGTGAGGAAAGCATGGCCCCAGCCCTCTACAAAGTCAGAGTCATTGGAAGAGATGGGGCAGTGAACAGGTAACCTCCCAGTTAACACTAGCGAAGCAAGAGCCATGATCACGCAATACACAAAGTACCACGGAAGTATCTCCAAACGGGAACAGGGAGGATGGAGTAGGGAAGATGGTCAGGGTCACTTTCCGGAGGAAATAATACATGAATCAAATCTGGAGAGAACAGAAGTTGGCCAGATGAAGAAAAATAAGGAAGAAAGAGGAAACAGACAAAGCAAAGGCACAGAGACAGAGCAAAGAAATTCCTGTCTATGCCAAGAGATTCAAACCAGCAGAGAGACTGATGTGAGCCTCCCAACATACCTGCTCAGCTTCTGAGGTGATGGTGACCAGATGAGCCCCCATGTCCGTGCAGTTCCTCTCGCTCTTTGCCCATGTCTTGTTGTCATTCAGAGGTAAATAGCAACTGTCCTGGAAGGATCTCCAACCAGTAGGACAGCAATTCCAGGTGCTTCCTCGTGAGGAAATTGACATGAAAATTACTTACAAGGAGCCTATCATCTGTAACAGATTGCATAACTTTTCTGCTAACTATGCAGTTCACATTTTGGGAAATAATACCATGATTACCAAAATCATCCTATTCCCCTTTTAAAAAAAAAATCCTGAAAACTACATTCTAAATATTCTCTAAACAAAACTGTCTGAATCACATCGTGACTGTGAGAAAATTAGAAGATATTCTCTTAGAAGACATCATCATTTTTCCATGTCCCTACATGTATCTTCTAGAATAAAGCCTTTTGTAGGAAATTATATGTAAAGGGAGCAGAGAACCTACTATAACTGTCAAGCATTTCCCCATTTTCCCAGATGAGATTTTACAAATTCTAGAATGATAAAAGAGATAAAGTCCCTTCAGCAAAGCTGTATATTCTAGAAGGAAACGGTCCTTAAGATATGTCTGAATCAAAAGAAAATGGAATTAAGTTAATGTTATGTTTTGGATGCCAAAAATGGACCCTAAATGTATTGTTATATTCTTCAGTTATTCAACTGACTACAGTCGTGAGAAATCTGTTTCTATTTATTGATGTTCATTCTTGCACCAGATGCTCATGTTTTTTAATCTCTCCTGGTTTATTACTGATTCCTTTAAATCCGATTATGAGGGGCGCCAGGGTGGCTCAGTCAGATGAGCGTCTGACTTCAGCTCAGGTCATGATCTCACCACTTGTGAGTTCAAGCCCCACATCGGGCTCTGTGCTGACAGCTCAGAGCCTGGAGCCTGCTTCAGATTCTGTGTCTCTGTCTCTGTCTGCTCCTCCCCCCTCCTCCCTTTTATTTATAAATTTTTTTAATGTTTATTTATTTTTGAGACAGAGAGAGACAGAGCAAGAATGGGGGAGGGGCAGAGAGAGAGGGAGACACAGAATCTGAAGCAGGCTCCAGGCTCTGAGCTGTCAGCACAGAGCCCGACACGGGGCTCGAACCCACGGACCTCGAGATCGTGACCTGAGCCGAAGTCGGCTGCTCAACCGACCGAGCCACCCAGGCGCCCCTCCCCCTTATTTATAAAATAAACATTAAAAAAAATTTAAATCAGATTATGAACCTGAATAGAAATGGAAGTAAGACAGAAATTCTCCTATGTCCTTTGCTCTCTGTACCTTTCAGTTTTGATTCCTCTTTGGTGCATGTTATCTTCCTGTAATACTCTGGTAACTTGAACATTCCCATGCGTCTCCTGCAGTGTAGAAAGCTGTAATGAGTCACTGTCAAGGGGGAAAACAAGTTAGTTTTCTTTTCCTGTAAAACCACTGAAGTAGGGAAATGGGGCTGGTCACTCTGACCTTTCTTTTCCCCTAAGAGTTAAGGTAACTATCCCTTTTCTTACTAGGCAGCTCCTTTGTTCCAGCTCTGGGTGAACTGGTTGAAAGGAGTTGCAAAAAAAACATTTTTTTTAATTTTTTTTTAATGTTTATCTATTTTTGAGACAGAGAGAGACAGAGCATGAACGGGGGAGGGTCAGAGAGAGAGGGAGACACAGAATCCGAAGCAGGCTCCAGGCTCTGAGCTGTCGGCACAGAGCCCAACGCGGGGCTCGAACTCACGGACCGTGAGATCATGACCTGAGCTGAAGTCGGACGCTTAACCGACTGAGCCACCCAGGCGCCCCTAAAATTATTTTTTTTATTAGCACATTATCCATTCTGTGCTTTATGGCAGTAGTCCTGCAAGCCTCTGTTTTTTCTCACAACCTGTGTTAGGACGGAGATATTTAGTAAACACAGGGATCATCCTGCTAAGATTTATGAGTCACATCCCACATACAACCACTTTCAGTCTCTTAAAGGTAACTATGCCACTTTTAAAGTAATCGCCTTGTACTTTGCCTCACAATCGTACCCCTTAATGACATATCCCTAAACCATACAGATTAGATTTGCCTGGTTTTGAGCTTTATATAAATCAAATCCTAAAATATGCATTCTTTTCCTTCGGCCATTCGCTCAGTGTTAACTTCTGAAATTTGTCCATATTGCTGCACACAACTATAATCGATTAATTTTGACTGCTATAAAGTGATCTGTTGTCTTAATGCGCTAAAATATATTTAGATATTCGTCTTCTGGTAAATATTTGCATCGCTTCCCGTGTTGACTCCTGTGAACTGTACGTACCACTTGGAGAGTTTTTGACCATGTATCCTAGAGCACATAAGCATGTCTTTCTGTAGGATGCTACATGCCTAGGAGCAGAATTGCTGGTAATAGGATACGCATATTGCCAACTATGATACTGGCAGACTTTTCCAAAGTGGTTGTACTGTTCTACACTCCCACTAGCAGCAATTCATTGGAGGTCCAGTCCCTCCACACCATCAATAGTCAATAGTGCCAGACCTTTCCATTGTTGCCATCCTGTTATATTTGCAAAGGTACCTCACTGTGAGTTGAATTTGCATTTCCCCCCAAACTTGACCTTTTTTATGTGTTCATTACACATTTCAGGCTTTCTTTTCTACAACGGCTATTCGAAATTTTGCCTATTTTTCTGCTGTATTGTCAGTATTTTTTCCTATTGGGTTGAAAGGATTGTTTATATATACTGTCCACTAAATTTTTTTATCCATTTTTTTTATACATTAAAAACACCGTCTCCAATGGCTGTTTTATTTCTTGGTGTTTTCGTTGTAGAGTAATTTTTACTTTAATATAGTCTAATTGGTCAACAGTTTCTTCACTGGCTAGCACACTTTATGACTTGTTCAAGAAATTATTCCCGGTCTTGCCGCGCCTGGGTGGCTCAGTCAGTTGAGCGTCCCACTTCAGCTCGGGTCATGATCTCACAGTCTGCGAGTTCGAGCCCCGGGTCGGGCTCTGTGCTGACAGCTCAGAGCCCGGGGTCTGCTTCAGATTCTGTGTCTCCCTCTCTCTCTGACCCTCCCCCGTTCATGCTCTGTCTCTCTTTGTCTCAAAAATAAATAAACGTTAAGAAAAATTTAAAAAAAAAAAGAAATTATTCCTGGCCTTGAGGATATGAACATATTCTCCATGTATCTTCTAAATTTTTTTTTTCAACGTTTATTTATTTTTGGGACAGAGAGAGACAGAGCATGAACGGGGGAGGGGCAGAGAGAGAGGGAGACACAGAATCGGAAACAGGTTCCAGGCTCTGAGCTATCAGCCCAGAGCCTGACGCGGGGCTTGAACTCACGGACCGCGAGATCGTGACCTGGCTGAAGTCGGACGCTTAACTGACTGCGCCACCCAGGCGCCCCTCCATGTATCTTCTAAAAAGGATTATCAATTTGCTTTTCACATTTTGGCCAATAATCCACCTTGCGTTGGTTTTGTACAAGGTATAAAACAGGAGACTGATTTCATTTTTTGAATAAGGATGATCAATGGTCCTCTAGCACATTAACTGAACAAATCTGTCCTTTCCCTATAACGGCAATATCCCCTTTTGTTTTATATAGAGATTCATATAGGCAGGATCTGTAACTAAGCTCTCTTTATCTTTCCTCTGGTCTATTCATCCATACTTGCACCTATGCTATATTAGTGTAATTATAATAACTTTACACATGGTCTTGCTATTAGAACAAATCTTTCATTGTTCTTCGTTTCAAAGAGGCACCTGGGTGGCTCAGTCGGTTAAGCGACAGACTTCAGCTCAGGTCATGATCTCACGGTTCATGAGTTCGAGCCCCACGTTGGGCTCCGTGCTGACAGCTCGGAGCCTGGAGCCTGCTTTGGATTCTGCGTCTCCAACTCTCTGCCCCTCCCTTGTTCATGCCCTCTCTCTCTCATAAATAAATAAACATCAAAAAATTAAAAAAAAAAAAAAAAAAAAGCCAGACTATGGTCCATCAGAAAGTTGGGTTTTTGCTGGTTACTCTTTACTGACAACATGCAGCCCTTAGTAATCTCAGTAAAAATGGGGAATGATTTACTATAGTCACCACCCTTCATACGTATAGAAAAGGGACTCTAACGTCCATATTTTGTTCCCTTACACAAGACAGCACCATCAAGAATAGAAGGTTAAGTACAGAGCTCTGGATTTTATTTTATTTTTTTTTAATTTTTTTTTCAAAGTTTTTTATTTTATTTTTGGGACAGAGAGAGACAGAGCATGAACGGGGGAGGGGCAGAGAGAGAGGGAGACACAGAATTGGAAGCAGGCTCCAGGCTCCGAGCCATCAGCCCAGAGCCCGACGCGGGGCTCGAACTCTCGGACCGCGAGATCGTGACCCGGCTGAAGTTGGACGCTTAACCGACTGCGCCACCCAGGCGCCCCCAGAGCTCTGGATTTTAAATTCAAGACCTTGAAAAACATTATGAATTGAAATGTTGGAGGAAAATCAAGATAACAAAAGGCTTAGAGCAACTTGGTGAAGTTTAGTTGAGAAAATAATTCACAAAGAGTTCCAATTTTGGTAATAACTTACCCAAACAATTTGCAATAAAACAAGCACTGAGGAGTGAGATGAAAAAAATAGCAATGGCCCAAGGGATCAGGTGGGAAGGCTGGCCTTCTTCTACAGGGACAAAAAGAAAGATAAATAGATTCTTCTCAGTCACAAGAACTAAGAACTAAGGAAACTACTCTACTGAGGAGCAAGCTAAACATGAGATCATCCAAACTATTTTAGATCTAGCAGAGAGCTTAAAGATTTCCTCCTGAATAAGTCAGTCTTAAAGCTTACTGATACACACATACATGCATAAAAATACATTTTTTTTTTGAATAGGAAGGGCTTTTTTTTTTTTTTAATTTTTTTTTTTCAACGTTTATTTATTT